GTACCACACGCCGTCATATGACTTACATTTTCAATTAGGGTATACGTCAGAAAAAGTGTACTGCCATATAAACCTAACTAATTGATGTCATCCTGAATTATTTCAATTGGTTTGATGGATTCGTCGGTTTGGACCACGCAGAAATATCTTTTACTGATTGAAAACATGACTTGCTAGCCTTGTATGTGAAACTTACGAACACTTGGTAAAGCCGTCATTATAATGATAGTTATAGTTATAGTTAGCTTTAATTTTAAAAATCTTTTTTGTAAATAAAATAGCGGAAATTGGTATGGTAAAGTATATAATATTATGAGTACTAATTCGTTTTTGTGGTTATCCTGATTGAAAACGTGTTTTTTTGTTACGAATCAACCCGACTAATAGGCCATTTTCGAGTTCCTAAAATTCTCTCTTTTAAGACGAGGCTAAGGGCAGAACCTTTCTTGTGAAACTGAGTTCATTTGCATGAGAATAAAAAAAATTATTTTCGTATCAGCCTCGCTTGGAAAGAGAGACTTGGAACAACTTGGAAATGGCCGCCTATTTTTTAGCAGATATATGACATCGCAGATAGTGTTGATTGAAACAGACAAATGCTTAATTTAATTAACCTTCAAGTGTATGGGAAAAAATGTCGTTGACAACTAAATAATGATCTCTTACTGGACGCAAACAAAGTAAAAAATAGCATAATTGAAAGTGGTTAAACGAAAAAGAAGTCGAATTGAACACAAAGACATAAATTACATGTCTCAAAGGGTAGACCATGCATTATTCTCTTTATTGTATTTATTATAAGCACCATACACTCCAGTGAAATAATTATATTTCTTGATTAGAAAAGAAGGCCAAGGCCTAAGCTCTTTTTGGTCTCTTTTTAATCAAACCGAGGAAACGTCAGCTCCACAATTAAAAGCGACTACTGCCGACTTAAAAGGCGGGTGTTGTCATGGGAACACGAGTAGGTCACTGATTGGCTGATATTAACACATGTAAAATTAGTGGATTTCAAGTACGTGTGTTTGTAAAGAAACAATGTTTTCTTCCATAGCAGAAATCCCGGAAAAACACTAATAGTTTATATACAACATGTATTTTTTTGTCAATTCAGAAGAATGTTAATTTGATTCTAATCATTTACCAGCTTCTGTGGCATAGTATGCAAGTATTGGGAATCATAAAAATTCAACCGGTATTTTCTTTAACTTTACTTCAAAAAATATAGAGTTAATTAAGGAAGTTCTATGCTTGGGCTAAATTGAGTATTATAAGATTTTTTTTAGTGGCTTAGGGGCGTGTCTTGATAAGGCAATGTTTTTATTCGTTTGGTTTAAATACATTTTATGAACGCGGTTGGCATACGGTGGAATTTCCTTCTTCCCGTACGTTTTTTTTTTTGCAAATATAGGTAAAATTAAATTAATTAGGAATGAAACTGATATAATGAGATAATTAGGGTAATAGAAGAAGTGCCTATTGATTTTCTATCGAATAATAAACGGGATTACAGTGGATAAAGAAAACCGGAGGACATAAATACCCGCTGCTTTAATTGGTGTGTTTGAGGATCACTGTGTTATTTTGGACACTTGTTTTGTTTTGTTCACGTTTTTTAAATGCATCTGTGGACAATACTAATGTTTATCTTAATTGAAAAGAATAAGTAAATTGATTCTGAGTCTCGGAACCAGGTTGAACATTTCACCCGACCACAAGCCTCAAGATACGTGCTCGACATTTCTTTTAGCCAAGACGCAAACTCGGCTATACTGAAAGCTCGACCATTTAATAATTGATGGAGCGCTTTCGCTCCTATGCTTTTAAATCTATTTTTTTGGAATTTACTCTCGCGTTCCGATAAAAAACAAATAACTAACGCACCTGCTGAGGAAACAAATACATATACGACGATATACAGGATAACTGAGAATTTTTGTCACGGCTTTTTACCGCTTAGTGGTGAACTCGATTTTCACAAACACAAAGAATAGTTTTAAAAATTAATCGCAATGCCCATCTGTTTCGACAATTGACGGCTAGTTTACATGGGAAACCTTGTTTATTAGCTCATTAATGCGCACAATATAAGGTCAGACCGGCGACGTAGACAAACATTTAACTAGCAGTTGTAAAAATTTGAAGCGCTTCAGGTTCCTGAGGTGTTTGGTGCACTGAATGCGCTGTCTGTCCATGGGTATGCTTGTTATTTCAAAGAACATTGTTCTAGCTGTGAAGGAGGTCGTTGGGTGTTTACATCCAGCTATTGAATCACCACGATTACAATGGAGCACAATACTCGACGAATAATTCTTAACGTCCAAGGATGTCGCTTTGAAACTTTTCAGGCCACGCTTGATGAATTTCCTGATACTCTACTGGGTTCGGAGGAAAAACGAAGCAGGTTTTACGACCCGCTGCGAGACGAATACTTCTTCGAGAGAGACAAATATGCTTTTGATTCCATTCTCTTTTACTACCAATCCAGGGGAATTCTTTCTTGCCCTCCAACTATATCACAAAATACGTTTGATGAAGAGCTCAAGTTCTACGAGATTAGACGGAAGGAGCCCGAACAACAGGAAACACGAGTTTCAGTTATGCCCGTGAAAAAATGGCAACGAAAAATGTGGAAACTTCTTGAGTACCCGGAGTCTTCAAAACAAGCTTCTTTTTTTTCTAAACTCTCTATGTTCGTAATTGTACTGTCTGTTGTAGCGTTCTGTGCAGAGACTCTCGACAAGGCGTCAACAAGGTCCTCCATATCGTCGTCCTTACACAATAACACCAATAACGAAACTGCCAAGATAGATCAATCACAGATGAATATGAAGAGGTCAAGAGTATGGTTCATAATTGATACCTCTATTATAATCTGGTTTAGCATGGAATATCTTTCCCGGCTCGCATCATCGCCTGATAAAGTCAAGTTTATCCGCTCAATGTTAGCGATAATTGACCTGTTAGCGATAATACCATATTTTCTTTCTTTAATCTTAGGCGATAGCTTCGCGCCTGCGTTTTCGTTCACCATAATGAGAGTTTTTCGTCTATTGCGAGTAGTGCGACTGTTAAAGCTCACGCGCTACGTAGCGGCTCTAAGAATTCTGGGTCAAACTGTCCAATCTTGCCAGGAACAGCTTACAGCCCTGATGTTCCTCATATTAATCTCAGTCATATTGTTTTCAAGTGCCATTTTTTACATCGAAAAGGAGGCAAACCCGGACAATTTCAGCAGCATTCCCGCCTCGTTTTGGTGGACAATCATCACCATGACGACTGTCGGTTACGGCGATATGACGCCACAAACACCCCAGGGGAGAGTGGTTGGAGCAGTTTGTGCTGTATTTGGGGTAGTTGTAATGGTTTGCCTTCCTAGTCCTGTATTTATTTCAAGCTTTAATGAAATTTACGTGCGATACATTACCAACCTCAAGAAGAACCAAAAAAACACATCCAAAGAAAGCCGAAGTAGTGAAACTTGGACAAAATGGTGGAAGGCTCTCATTCCTTCAAAGATGATGATAGTAACTAGACGAAAGCCTAACACGATAAAGGATAAGACGTAGATTTTTAAATTTATTACTCCTTTATTTTACCAAAGAATACATATAAATTGAATATAATTTTAAAATAAAATCAGAAAACAGCTCGAGACCTCCAGTCTTCGAGGTAAATAGAAGTGAATGGTTTTAATTAATGATTTTTACAAAACCATTTGTTGGCTTTAAATCCACTTGATATTTACGTTTTGAATTCATTTTTACTTTGACTTCTTGTCTTATGCAAACAAATATAGGAGTCGATATTGGGTATCAGGATCAGGTCGGTTCCTGCTTAAAACTCTCGAAACCTTTAATGACACTTCTTCTCTCGTCAATGCATAGATAAAACACAAACCTCAACCGATCCCACTGGTGTTTTCGTGATCTCCGGGTTACCGGTGGTTTCGATACAAAGTCCTTGCGATAAAAGTCGTTTCGACACAAGTTAATTCCTTCGAGGTGTAAACAGTTTCACGTACTTGGCTTAAAGAACGTAGAATATTCACCCAAAATGATTTTCTTGTTCAAGGAGGCTTTCAAGTGATCGAAATTTTGTGCAATTTCGTATCGAAACGATCGACTTTTATCGCAACCGCGACCGGTTTCCGGTCTCTGATATGCTTCACGCATCTGTATGGTACGTTACAACAGGGTTAACGTTATAGATGATAAAGAGCCATTATATATAGGAGCTGTGTCTCGAGGATATTGCTGTCTTAGGTCAGTTCTGTGCTGGAGTCATTACTTAGTGTCTTCAGTTACCTATACTGACACAAAAAGCTCCTGTCGAGTTATGGACAAGATATCATGCAAACTACATCGGGGAGCACTACCCAAAATAATTTTTTTTGGTGAGTTTTGCAGCCACAGCGTTAAAACTTAAAAAAGTTGGGCCAAACTTTTCAAGTGTCAATCCAAGTCAATCCTTGCCATCCGTTGCAATGGACGGCAGGAAACAGTTTAACCCATTAAGTCCCAATACCCACCTACAAATTCTCCAAACTGATCTATATATATTTCCTATATATTTTTTAAGAATTAGTTAAGAGAATCTGATAAAAGATCAAAGTATTTTCTCTTAGGTGATCATTTTATTAATTCTCATAACCTCATCTCATGACAATGTACGGATATCGTTAGGAGAAAATTGCTGTTGGTCACTGTTGGAACTTAAAGGGTTAAAAGCCTCAAATAACGTCTTAAATGACAAAATTGGACCATTATTTTTGTTATTCAATTGATGTGAAAACGTTTTGGCCATTTTGAAAAATAACAAATAGCGTGACCTAGGCACTTTAACGTCTCGCCAGCTGATTGTTTTTCTTTGTTCCCTGACAAAATGGCATTGTCTGTGATAAAAATTAACAAGGATGCTATTATTGCCTCTTTCGTGTCATCTTACGAATTAATTTTAGTTCTTCTCGAGTCAGTTTTGAAATAACTGGAAAGAAAGGATTACCTTGTCATTAATTTTTCGAGCAACGTTGGAACCTCAGATTTTAAACCATTTCGTGCGCGTCTCTTTTTTCCGAGGTGTTTTTTATACATATTGCTAAAATGTGTTACAAACACAGGCAAAGGCAGAATGAAAAGCAGCAAAATCCCAAGGACCATGCAAGCGCTGGCTGCCAATTTACCCACAATGCTCTTGGGAACGACATCACCATATCCTACTGTTGTCATGGTGATGACTGTCCAATAAAATCCATCCAAAATACTGCTGACCACATGTCTGTGTTCTTCGGCGTAAAAGAAAAAGCTAGAGAAAAAGATGACGGCCATAAACACACAAAGCATTAAAGACGACAACGCCGGCCATGTACCTTTGAATACTTTTCCTACTGTCTTCAAACCCTCACTGTAGCGACTGAGTTTAAAAACTCGAAAAACGCGGCAGAGACGAATGATTCGCAAGAAATTGAAGGAGGTTACTTGGGGGTACATTTCCGATTGCCAGCCGCAAAGTGCTGCCGCTATGAAATACGGAATGATTGCAAATGCATCTATGAGACCAAAGAAGGAAAAAACAAATCTGCACCTGCTTGGAGCTGTTAAAATTCGTATGAGATATTCCATCAAGAAAAACACCACTAGAGCTGTCTCCAACACAAACCATACTCCAAAATGGTAGACGCTTGCGCCGGCCAAAGTGGTACAAGTGGCTGAGCCAATCAGATGACAGCTTCTGTTAAACGTTTTCTCATCGCTTATATCAGATTTATTACTTTTGCCACCGGTGTTGTTTGTAATATCTCGGAAGCAGTTAAGGGCTGGTATTGTCTCTAGACAAAGCACGATGACAGAGAGCAGTATAGCTGATATAGAGACTCGCCCCAAAATTTTACCCGCTAAACTGAGTCTTGGGTATTCCATAATCAACCAACAGTTGTTACGGAGTTTTGTTGCACGTTGGTGGCAGTTATCATCGGGACTTATTTCCATAAATGTTTGGACATCGGAAGGGGAGCTTAAGACCTTGCTGTTAGAATTTCGCTTAGAAGCATCGTCTAGTTCTGTCTTAATCTGGAAGAATTCTAGTTCCTCTTTGAAAAGGTCTTCAGGGACGAATTCCGGTCTTGCGAGAATACCATTGGACTGATAGTAGAACAAAATGGAGTCGAATATGGCTGGATCTCGATCCAAATAATACGTCTTTTCAACAGGATCGTAAAATTTGTTTCGTTCACTCGGACAACCGAGCATGGTATCTGGATGCTGTTCCAGCGTGTCCTGAAAAGTCTCAAACTGAAGCCCTCTCACATTGATGCGAATGCGTCTTCTTGCTTGTAATGCAGGGCCATACTGAACCTGTGCCAAACTCGAGTGAGGAGTTTGCAGTGGTTTGTACTTTGGAGGAAGCGGTGTAAATCTTCGTAGGCTTGAGTTCATGTCCTTAAGACGGCTAAACTTAAATACAACAAAGGACAATTTTCAGCTGTCGCCAAAACTTTAAACTTAAATGTGTAAATACGCGCATCAAAGTCTCTTTGACGTTTTCACGGGACATTTTACGTTTAGCATATGTGCTGATATGTTATCTGGATGTCTCATTGGTTTTGGGTTGGGATAAAATCAAAAGAAATAAGATCACCCGCAGAGCGAGAGAAAAAGAAAAGCTCGCTGCGTTGATTAACGTATTTTGAAGATAGCCTCATGTCGCGTGTAATGAGCGTCTAGTTGCACTTAAAACGATCCAAAGGCTTTAGGTGCAGGTGGCTTTTAATTTAAGATGGCAGTTTGTGATCGACATTACAATAAGAGAAGCACGATCTTCTTTTTTAGTTTTAATATTAACCTGCATCTTGCGTATGCAGTTGCTAATTCCATAAAATACCATCCTTAATGCAGCATTAGCGCCTACAAGTCGTGCTATGAATGAGCGAATTATCCGGCGAAGTTACTTTTGTCAGGCAAGTAAGAGTCTACCCACAATTCCTAACGGGAGTTAGTCTTTCAGAAAAACAAAACAAAAAAATGATGTTGGAAGTTGATACTCAGGTAATTCAAACGGTATTGCGCATGCTCAACGTGTACTAAGTTCCTTACCCCGCAGAAGCAACTAAAAAGTAATTAAAATCTTTATCGGGCTTCATCACAGTGGAAAATGGAGCGTAACTAATAGAGCATGGGAACCAGCGCCGTTCACGATAGCAGTTTTCATAAATGAATTTTAAAAAAGCACTGATTTTCTCTTCAAACGTTCTTCTACTATAGGAAGAAATTAAAAGCTATGACTTCTATGTGCAGGTAGTTGGTTGATTCCCAGTTTGATTTATGCGTCTGACTGGAATCATTTTTACCAGAAGGTCAACAAAACAAACTATCACAAAGTTATATGAATTTTAAAGAAAATAAGGCAATCCTAACATTTTTTATTAGGATTAAGGTGTTGTGCTTGATACGAGGCTTGAGATTGTTGGATCTTGTTGTAAATATGAAAGGGTCTGGAGTTCGGTGTATAAATACACAACAAATCCTCTCTAAGGGTTGAATATTGAATGAAATTCTATTGACATTTTAACTGGATATAATTGCTGGCCGATCTCTTAGTCTCTTTCTGCCTTACAAAATATTTTTCCCTTGTTTTTTAATATGGTAAATAGTTCGTAATAAATGCTATGTCTACATACACCGATATACATATATTTTTTACCGTGAACTGGCATACTGACAAAAGCAGTCAACTACTTAAATAAACATGAACATTCTCAACTTAAAGGCAGCTGAAATTAAACTTCGATTTTAAGCGGCGCCAACTTAAAGGCAGCTACTGAAATTTTAAAACTTCAGCGGCGTCATCAGTTAAAATCAGTGACACATAAATTTCAATAAAATGTTTGTATTCAAAAAAAAAAAAAAACACTAGTAATAATTGTTCGCCAAGTTTCAGTAGAAATCTTTTGCTGCGTGTATTTTCAATAGCCGTCCTCTTTGTGTTTTTAAAAGAAATTGATAGTTAATAGCTCATTCTTCAAGGAGCAGGTGGACAGAGCAGTTATTATAAGCTATGAGTATTTGAGGACTCACGTGAGACATTCAAGACATTCAAGCCCACCACCGGGGTGACATTTCTTCAATTAAAGCTGCATAGAGTGCTCTCAGATGAGCCTCAAGGTAATTACCATTTACACAAAACAATAAGCGGTTGGAAATCTCATGCATAAACAATTAACGATTAGATACATGACCTTCTGAGAGAAGTCCACTACGAGATTTAGCAACGACAATAAAACGTGTAAACAAATTGCATCGCCTCAAATGACTCAAATTACAGCCTATATTTTCTGAAGCCTCCCAAACGGGATGGCGTTAACTGTACAGCCCCGAAATGATCCCCGATCCCAAATGATCCCCAAAATCGACCTAAATACGACCCGAAATGATCCCCGACCCAAAATGATCCCCAATTTTTTTTACACGCGACCTGAAATGATCCCCGAGGAATTATCGGAATGGAATGGGATGACGTTTAATTCCCGAAGATGCTAGAATTACCAGAATAAAATACAATATAATCTGTTGGGCTCCCGGCCATAATATACTTCAAAGGGTGTTGCCATCCCTAAGGAGCTATGAGGGGACTCATTGTACAGAACCTTTTTATTTCTTGTGTACACGGTAAAAGCTCATGGTTTCAATGCTCTGATTCAGTATTCAGTGGATAACCAAACAAAAAAACAAACAATTTTAACGATAATACTTAAAAATACGGTGTTTCTGACTTAACGTGCGTAAATTTCTGTGATATAAGTAACCTTCCATTGTTTGCACTGTAATAATTAATGAGACTCTGCGCTCTTTAATATCAATCTTCTCCGAATTCTATACACCTGTTAAAATGAAATAGTTCAAAAATTGCTTGAAAGCCTCCATACGAAACAAAAAACGCAAAATTAAAATAAATCTTTAATGAGGATGTGGACGTCACGCAAAGTGGTTTACTGTGGGGTCCTCAATTAAAAAATACAAAATAAGACATCAAAACTAATGAGTAACAAATATAAAGCAAATAATAAAAAATAAACTAAGAAGTGGAACAAATTAAGAGTAATTCAGTATAAACTATAAACATGCAGTAACTACAAGGATAAAGAAATAAGGGACTACGGATTAAATTTTGGCTTTAGAAAAGACACGCTAATTAAAAGAGGGCGGTGTTTGTCCTATGATAGGGAAGCGTATAAAGCGTTCCATTCGTCCACTGCAAAGTTTAGGGTAATTAGATATCCCCGTCTCCTAACAGCAAGAGATTTACGGATATTATGCTCAGATCTACCCTGCGAGCAGAGGTTTCTCTCTTGCATGGCTTATTAAAAAAACGCTAAAAAGATTTAGTTGAAAGGAAATTAACATAGTTGTTAGTACTTTGCGCTGTAAGGGCTTCTAGCGGAGCCAATCAAGTGCGTCGCTCGGAAATAAAATGGACCGCTCAGAGATTCAAAATGAGCCAGGAGAACCCCAACGACTTTTTTCTGTAAAATAACTTTTCCATGGAGCAAATTTTGCCCACTGAAATTTCTGAAGCTCCAGAAACGCTAAAAAGGTTTGGAAAAGCGTCCCATTCGTTTACGATATTCCCAGAGTTTTTCTACCACTGCCATGTACACTGTACCTACGATTTTCAAAGGTTGTAATTTTCACATTTTTATTACCAAGATATTGCGATTATTGTTAAAAAAGTATCTGAAAATTTTGGTTTAAAGACAAAATGTCTCCTAGAATCTTATAATAAATTACGATTAGTCCATAACCTCAACTCTCGACCGGACCCGACATCAGGGTAGCCGTAATTTCTTACCCAGATCGCCCGCGGCCAAGGGAAAGGGAGACTGGGAGATCTCACTTTTCAGCGTAAGACAGAGTGAGATCTGGGTACGAGATTAGGGTAGCCGAACTGTTTCGAATCAGACGAAGAAACTAACTAAAACATCCAAGACGACCAATGTTCCCTTAAGACATCCGAACTGATAAATAGTATTTAGGCAGCTACAAATTAGCCTGTTCCAGGCTCCAAGATAGTGGTGCAGTCGTTTAGTAAAAAGAGATGCGAAAAACGCGCGGGGGTTGGAGAGAGACAGGACTCTCCCTGCCATTTTTTCCCGCCGCCACCTCCCCGTTTCCCAGATCGCGCGCGTCTTATTTTCGCTTTGCTCATTTTAAATACGTCCCTACCATTGACTGACACTACCATCTGACGTATTAGGAAACATTCAGTGGTTGGATACCCCTGCTGAGTCGCGCAGCCTTAGTGTAGCTTGTAGCTCGCCCCTCCAATTAGTCAGTGTTGCATAAGGTAAGTGTTTCCCCCTGTCTCCGCAAGTAAGAGAGAGTAAATTATTCTCTCTTGCCGAAAGTTATCTAGCCTCTCCGCAGTTGTTTTTAGGAGAGCTCGTTTTTCATCCCTCCTGGGGAGGGATGAAAAACGAGCTCCCCTAAAAACGCCTACGTGGAAGGCTACAAGTTATCTCGTCGCCCGTCGAAAAGGGGGTAAAATACAGGAGATAAAAAAGTAGGTAGGCAGGACTTGATGCGCCACGAAAAACCTTTTTTTTGTGTCCTTGTTTTTGGTATCTAAGTCCTCGCGTTTTAGTTTTACATTGCAAGTAGCTAGCCGACACATTATCGACTCGATGTCAAATATTTGTTTCATGCCCGGGGGATACTGTTGGGAATTCTTGGTGGGGGTGTGCCGCCTGGTTCTCAAAATCCTGACCCTTTTTCAGGCCAAAAACTATCATTTTCCACTCTCGTTTTTAGACCTGGCGTCGAAAATCCATATCCGTTTTCAGACCTGACCTCTAAGAAATTATGTCATCAATACTTAGATTAGAACGCAACCAAAAAGATTTCTTAAAATGCATTTCGAGTTCGCGCAAATCCCTTTCCTTCTTACCCTTTAGGCGGGGATCTAGGATATAAATACTGACCGATTTGACGATAGCCTAAGGCGCAAGCTTCTAGAGGGGCCCGGGAGCATGCCCCCATGGGGAACATTTTAGATTTTAACTCCCTAAAGTCCCCTTTCCTGGGTTTTGGCCAGTTCCAAGACTCCTCGAATGAAGCCTTTTCCTTATAAAAAATACATCTATTATGAAACATCTGACCGATTCCGTAAAACGGTAGAAACCGGTGTGGATCCGCGCCTGCTCAGATTAGGCCCATCACTTTTCACGGTTTATTCGAGAAAATTATTTCAGATAATTAACAACAACTTAATACGTTTGATGTTCACGCCAACGCTGATGACACTCAACTATACCTTGCCTTTTCACCGGGTGGCACTGGTCAGGCACAGGTTATTGGAGCCATGGAGAGATGCGTCGAAGAAATAAGAACATGGATGGTCACTGACAAGCTTAGGTTAAATGACAACAAAACCGAATTCTTGATTTTTGGGACGAAGCAGCAACTTTCAAAGACTAGTCGATGTCATCTAACCATTGGTAGTTCAACCGTATCTCGGGTCAACTCCGCTAGAGATCTAGGAACTTGGATGGATATAGTAGGAGCCTTACCCTCCAAGATCACATTAACAAAACGTGAAGAGCTGCTTACTTTCACATATACAACATCAGGCACATACGAACGTTTCTAACCAAGGAAACTATACCCAAATATTGGTGCACTCCCTCGTTATTAGTCGTATTGATTATTGCAATAGTCTCCTGTTCGGCTTGCCTGCGGTTAACGTCGCCAAATTCACTGAGCTACAGCGCTTACAGAATTCAGCGGCAAGACTTATTTCCTTTACCTCACGTTTTCATCATATTACGCCGGTGCTGAAATCAATTCACTGGCTCCCCGTTAAATATAGGATCTTATTCAAGGTTGCTATATTGACATTCAAGATATTGCATGGACTGTCACCTGACTATTTAAAGGAACTTTTGACAATAAAGGAGATCTCTAGATACAATCTACAGTCTAACAATGAACTTATTCATAGACCATCTATTATCTCAAATTTAAAAAAGACACTGGGTGATTGCGCCTTTAAAATGGCAGCAGCTCCGGCCGCTGTATGGAACAAATTGCCGCCGAACAATATACGTAACCAAACTAATTTTAGCAAATTTAAATCCTTGCTTATTTTTTCTTTTTACATTATAATTAGGATCTTTTAAAATACATACTCTACTTTTAATGTTAATAAAGCATACACATACTACTTCAACCTTATTTACGCGCCTTTTTGTAATTAATGAATATTTCATTTACACCATTTTCGAAGTTAATTATTTTTATCCCGCATTTGATTATATTCATATAGATATTTGCGCGCGATAAATTTTTTAATTATTATATTATTATTATTACTTATCTGGAATTGAAACAATAAATACGTTAGTACACTCCCGTAGTTCCCTCGAAAACCACACCCGATTCCGGACAAAACTGAGCAAAGTATATGCCCGTTTTCAGACCAAAACGGCGCCAAAACCCTACCCTTTGGGGCGGCACTTACCTATATGGCTTATATAGGGGAGTACCCCCCGGGGTTTTCATGAACTGATTTTATGACACTAGTACGTGAAAGAGAAGTCTCGCTTTTCAAAATACCTTAATCAGTATTAGTTATCTAAGCCCTGTTTTCACAGATGTGTAATAACTAGAGCTGCACAATATGGCGTTTAATTCTTACCACAATTCAACTCAGACTAAAAACCGGCCCGTATCTTAGCGTGACAAACGATGACAAATGGGTTTTCATGACCTTCCTTGTATGATATTAAACACGAACTTCCGCATTGTCTACACACTTCCATCTGAAATGACCTTGACAAACTGAAACACTTCCCTTTTTATGTCAGGTTGTTGGTCAGGCATTCTAGTTGGGCAGCTTTAGCTATATAAATCCTAGTTTTCACCTGTTAGAAAGCCAGACCTTCGGGTATTCTGTCTTTCCTCATGCAACAGTCCCAGATTTTGCCGGCAGATTAAAATTTGAAGTCTTTCTAGATTTGAGAAATGGTAATGATGCATGCGGCAAGTTGCTCACGTTGCTAAGCACGAAACTAAGCGCAAGAGTTGCTCGAGGCGTGTAAATGATGGTCGGGGACAAATCGGGAGCGTTTCGCTTCCCCGATTTCTGCGATTGTCGGCGATTATTCTTCGGCAGTAATTTTGTATTGTCGGGGATTTCGTTGATGGCCAATTCTGCTCGTTTCAATCCTCCAGTTGGTTGGCTACCCTAGTCTTTGGCAGGTTCTGGAATCTAGGACGATCGGAAAACGGGGGAATTCAGCGAATCCTTGCTCGTCTGGGATTTTCCCGACACTTGAAAACCAAGAAGAGGTTGATCCTATTGTATTTTTGATTACACTGATTGGCCACGTGATTGTCAATGGTGACCCTCCTGAATCTCACGAGCTTTTCACGTGTTGTTCTTGCAAAATTGAAACGCAAGAGAACGAACATATTTTCCTCGTCTTTCATTCATTTTAAGCCACCAGAGCGCCCTCAATCTACTGAAGTTTTAAGCGCGATTTCTGGCAGATGTAAGCGCTCTTCGATTCGGTGAAGAAGCTAGGATTTCAAGATCTGCGTGACATCCGAGTGGATGAATTAATAATTCAATGCATGCTCAATATTGATCCATGAAATCATGGCTCCGTTGTTGGTCTTTTCCGCAGTTGGTTTATTTGTTTCACTTCGCGTCCACAGTTGCTCGAAACTTGAGAATAAAGTTTTACTTCCGGTAAGCTATGTCAAAAAGCAAACCCGCATGAGTAATGACCAAACCTGAATAACTGTAAAGGGCGAGATTATAACTGAGTCTGAAAATCTAAAACAACTGGGCGGAACTATTGATAGTCGACTCAACTTTTTTGAAGAACACATCAATAGCGTCTGTAAGGTCATGTAAGAAAGCAAGTCAGACCTGGAGTCAGAGTATCAGTGTGTTGCTGCGGTTAAGGAATCTGATACCTACCATGGAAAAGTTACAACTCTATTAAAATCGGCAATTCTCCCCCACCTCCACCCCCCTCACTTACTGTCATTCACTGGCACTTTTGAAGGGCCTCAGACACTTGTAGATTGTAGAGCGGGCTTCATGAACGGGGTTTGAGGGATGTCTTTAGGGACACACATCTCGATTAGCAACAGCTTTTAGATAAAGCAAATTTACCCACCCCGTGTGGAACAGACGGCTCCAAGATCATGATGCATTCTAATGTACAAAGCGAAACATTACTTGTGTCCCAGTCCAATTTGTAATCTATTTCAGCCTTAGTAACCATACTTATCGGCTGAGACAAACTGACTTTGCGCTACCAAGATTTATTAAACACTACTATTTATGGCAAACATTCGTTATTGGTCCCAAACTGTGGCATAACTTATCCAGAAAGGTCAGAAAGGAGAGCCTTGCAAGCAATCTTAATACCTTAAAATCGCAAATAAGAAAGCGTGACTTATCAAGCCCTTATCTATGCAATTCCTAGATTTCCTGTTTACAATACTGTTTTCACAGTAAAGACATTTGTCCTCGATCTTTTGTCATTGTTGATGTATTTTATATAAGATATGTAACATGTACAGTTTTAGATTTTTAGTTAGCTTTACATAGATTTGGTCAGTTTCACACATTTTTATGCTTAGTTAGGTGTCCCTGTTAGCTGAGCGTTTCGCTTCTGCTATATATTTTATTGACACATAAGTAACGTTTATTCATTCATTGATTCTTTCATTCCACGGAGGTACACATGTACGTACAGTCACCTTTTTCCCATTTCAGGTTTTTTTTGTCGCTTCTTCACCCTCGTGAATTCTAAGCACAGGATTACATCGTGGAAACAAATGCGGACATTTTAAATTCTTTTGTTTATCGAATTTCTTCACCAATAGCGGTGGACTTACTGACAATGTGGTTTTCGCAATGTAGGCTGCTCGAAACTTTAAACGCGAGCCTGGAGGCCCTCAGTTAGAATGGGGATGCAACAAGCAAATCAAAGACTGACTGCGACGGACGATATTATATTGAGTGCGCGAAAAATAATTCCATGCTTGTAAAACTTCGAGGATTAAGTACAGTTCGCGAGGCGTCACATAGCCTTGCGTGCAAAACAGCAGTGGCACTGGCAGATGATTCAAGTTTCGGTGGATCCACGGATGAAACGGAAGAGAGGGCAGGCGCTGTCACTAAGCCGCTATCACGTCCAAACCGAAGGAATAAAAACGGAGATCAAGACATAGAACAGCCCCGTTGAGCGAACGATGTCAATCAACCTATCCGTACGGAGGGACAATTTTGAGGTAGGTTTGTTGTGTCTTGCTAAGGTGTAACACGATCTCCAGACTAGAGTTCGCGTTAACATGCTTGAAATGTTTTTGACGATTCACGGGTCCTCCGCTGGTCAGTCGGTAGCTCGGTCGGAGGGGTTATATTTGATACCCCCTGAGAGTGACTCACGAACTGAAGTGTCCTTTTGTTGACGTTGTTTGGCTGTACCCTGCGAGCTCTGCACCTCACGAAATTGTTCGCCACGTGTCTTTTTACTATTGCTTTTGCAGAATCAGCGTAAGTATGCCTTTTTTATTTCGTAAATTATGCATTCAAATTCTGCTTGGCTGGTTTTGGAGTTTTCCCCGCCTCCTTGATCTGATCTTTGCTGTACTTTGTGCTCTGCTATCGATTGCCTCGTTCGTTTTCCAAAACAAGCTCTTTTAACCCCCCAAAATCGATCGCTCTTCGATAAGCATTGTATAACTGTGAAATATTTCGAGGTCATGAAGATGGAATTGCAAAGGAAAATCGCGTTTGTGCTGGGTGAGTCAATCGTTTCTTGTTTCCGTGTGTTGAGCTGTCTGACAATCGAGCTGAGGTGGAGCATTTTTTAATGTACATCCGATGCCTAATATTGAATTGCAACTGAAATTTTCGCTTCAGTCACAGCACATTCGACCTCTTTTCCCCTTGTTAGATCTCGATGATATAATTGCAGGTTCTATTCTGCTAATTTCGTGCCGACCTATATAACATCACTCGTGTGTGTTTAAGGTAAATTAAGCGTAATAAACCATTATGACATGCTTCAGAGAACCTCACGGACTCGTGCCTTTTGGAGAAAGTTTCGCCAGCCAGGCGTAACACTTCGCTCGCCCTTTTAATTAAGTTCGTTTCCGCTGCTTCTGTCACAGTTTTGGCCATAAAAAAAAAAAAAAAAGAATCTACCGTGGTTCGATTATCACATATCTCTTGGTTTAAAACCGCGTGATGTTCAGCGTTCTTATAGCTTTGTTGTCGTAATTTCTGATCGCGTGCCAGTTCAACTGTAACACAGCTCGGCGGGATGTTTATTTCACGAAGTTGCAATTTCTCAACACGAGACTCGTGTTGTCGTTTTTCGTCCTCTATTTAACGTTTCGTGAAGAATCTTTTTCACCGCTTTATGCATTCCTTCGCGTGTTTGTCTCGTATTTGGCTTTGTTCATGCTTGCATGACGTGATTTGTAATTCGATGCGTTCTCGGCGCGGACTTGTGTCTGTTTTACTAATGCAATTTCAGTACAGTAGTATTGTTATGTCTTTTCATTACCTTCGATTGATAATTACGCGGACATCGTTTCACTGTGTTATACAGTGTAGGCACTTTTGCAATATGCCCTTCATGAGATAACGCGTCAGGGCAGTTTCTCTCCGGATATTGCTCCACCTAAAAAATAGATGTGTCATAGCATTTAGCCTAAGTGGCTTTTGAGGTTTTTGAATTTTCTCTATTGTTCTGAATGGATCTTATATATTTACCCTTGTATTTATACTTTGACCTGTATGTTATATTGTGGTGATTTTTTAGTCTTACCACCCTGTATTGTAAGATATCAAAACCAGAAACTAATTCCCGTTCTTGATCAACATTATTTGGGTTGATTTCCCGAGAGTCGCCCGAGGTCTGGTTTCTTTCTCAGCTTTTTGTCAGGCTACAATAATGCGTCAGTTGGACTGACTGCTTTGACTGGGGCAAGTGTTATTCTTTTGTGGGTTAAATCTTAGCTTTTTAATCTCAAGTCAATCATTGAGACGTAAGAATGAAGTAATTCTATAAACTTGTAAGTCTGTGTTACTAGACCTCTGATGTGACCATTTGTTCACCAGCAGTACCTTGAGGCCCTCATATGGGTGGGTGGGTGGGTGGTATGCATGTTCCTAGCCTGTCATTTCATGTATTGAAGAGAAGGCTATGTCCCTGTTGGTATTTGACTATTTCACTTGCACTTTTTTTTGTTGCTGTTGCTGTTTCAACCCATCTTTAACCCTTTAAGCCCCAGTATCCACATACAAATTCTCCAAACTGATCTCTATACATTTCCTTAAAGAATAAGTAGAGAGAATTTGATAATAGATCAAGGCATTTTCTCTTGTGTGATCATTTTATTAATTCTTATAATTTATCTCTTGTTGACAGTGTATGGATATTGTTTGGAGAAATTTGATCTTGGTCACTATTGGGACTTAAAGGGTTAAGTCATTTGTCACCAATTTTCAGCAGCTGTCTTGTGTTGCTTTTAGAATTTTAACCTAACAAGATCTCAAATGAAACCTCTTCATTAGTACTTTCCCTCCTTATTAGTTTTTTGTTATGCAGTTCTGACTTTTGAGTCTATATGTGGACAAATGTGCTATGGTGTGACCTTGCATTAATGTGCATCTATTTGGAATAAATTGTAAGCTTTAGTGTCTTTAAAGAGCGCTTGAGTCTCAAAAATTGATTTGTTTGATTTGTCAATGACCTTTTGATTTAGTTTATTTTCTGGTTAATAAAAATTTTGGGGTAATTCATTTGTTTCATCTTTGGCACTCTTAAATTTAAAAGGAAATAACAAAGTGCAGTTCTATGATGAAATCTTGTAACCTTGTGAAACAAACCAGATTATAAATTCTTAACTAAAAGCATTAGGATTAATCAAAATTGCCAAAGTAACCATTATTATTGTTATTATTATTATTATTATCATCATCATTATTCCTATAACTATTTTTATCTAACCTAGAACTGTATCATGGCTTGAAGGAGAGACCTTCTTACTGCTTGTCAAATATTCCTTATAACCCACAAACAATAGCATTTATGGGGCATGGTTTTGTGAGTGTTGTTATCCAGTGATCAGTTATCCCTTTAGAATTTTTTAAAACTTTGCATATGGTACTTTGTTAGACTGCTTGTGACAAAGTTTATAATTTATTATTAATGAAGTTAAGGGTTAGGACTGTCCCAGAAGTAAATGTAATTTAAGATTAACAGTAGGGTGGTCAATGCCAGACTGATTTATTGTATCTTATTGGTTCTCAACAAATGTACCACAAAGTCGGTGTAAGTGAAGGTTAATTAACTGTGACTTGGGGCATGCAGTTCTTTGTCCTTTTTTTTGACTTATGGACTATAAAGTGACTAACCGTTTGCAGATGTCAGAACATGAAGGCAGCAATCCTCAGTTATTTATTATAAGACCCTGAGTGTTGATCATCATGGGCCTATTGTTTCACGGTAACTTAACTTACTCATCCCTATAAGATATCAGGGTAGTAGAGTACCACAAACCCAAAGAAGGGCACCCCATGTTGACTTCATGGTCAGTTTTTCTCACTATCTTTTATGTTTGTGTGTGTTTTTTCAAAACCTTTATTGATAAGGTTATCATCACCATTGGCAAGAAACTATATATGGACACTGAACTCATTCAAGATAGTTTCTTTCCATTTCTAGAGTACAGATTTGATAAAAATCTTACAGAACGCTAACTTGGGGCTACAAGGACAAATACCATTTCTTAAGGAAGTTACTTGTTCTACAGAACCAGTGGACTACTGCTTTGAGAGTAAGTGTCACTTATAGTAACAGCGACAGCAGAGTTATGGGAGTATGGGGGGTGTGAGGGTACAGAAGGCAGGAGAGGAAAGGGTGGGGATCAATCAGGGGGAATTAACAGGCAACAATGCTCAAGACGGAATCCATCAGGAAATTGAGTAATTTTAGCTTTCAGGGGACAAAAATCTTGTACCAGAATAATTTAAAGAATGTTGCATTCTCTTTTACATTTTCCAAGGGCTAAAGAAGTATGGGTAATTATATAGTCATCAGTAATAACACCAAAGAAAATTTCTCATAGGAGTCCAAGAAAATAAATGTCAAATTTCACAATAATTGTGAAAACACTGGTAAAATTCTGAAAATTTCATGTGTAAGATGTAATTTTATGAAATTTGACATTCATCTTTTCGGGCTCTCATCAGAAATTTTCTTTGGTGTTACTACAGATGACTAATTACATCTTTAGCCCTTGAAAAATAAAAAAAAAGAATGTGACATTCTTTAAATTATTCTGGTACAAGGTTTTTGTCCACTGAAAATTAAAATTACTCAATTTCCTGGTGGATTCCGTGTTAATATGTCACAATAAAAAAAACGCTCTCTGAAATGTCATCTGTCTCCTTGCCCCATCCCCCAATGGGCAGCGAGGCAAGAGAGACAACAGGGTGGGTTGAAGAGATGGATGACATCTCAGACTAGAATAAAGGTGATAGGGAGCAAAAATGCAAGGTCCTGGAGGCGGGAGACTCGGACCTCCATACCCCCCACTTGCAAGACTGTTGCACCGTCACAATGATCATATGTATTAAAAGTGACATTGGATTGGTCTTTCAATGGTGTGCTTATCCAATATTAAAGATTATTCATATAACACAGAATGGCCATAATTTATCCTGTTTTCTTTGCTCTTTCTATGAAAATCAATAAATTTTGATAATAATTTATCACCCTTTTTAGAGTGCTCAAGGTATTTACACTTCCAGCTAATTTGCTACATCTACAAGACAAAGAAATTAGAGAAGGCTGTCAAAACCAAGGATGTTCTATGTTCCTCTCTTGCTGATAAGCTAGATGTTATGAAGGAAGACAAGAAATTTAGGGTTACGTCAACAGACATGAGCAAGAACCGGATGAATGAAAACGATTATAAGGTGGGAGGGGATAGTGGGGAATATAACCGTTGCAATGGCACAAGTGAACCAGATCGTATTCGAGACGCGAGCGGTGACAATGCATCGAACGAAGAGCAAATTTTCAAGGCAAAGTTTGAGAGCACAGAAAAAGAGTTGAAGAAAGTTAAGGAGGACCTGAATAAAACAACTACTGAGAAATCTAAGGTAGGTTTTTTAGAGAAGATGGGAAGACGCATCCATTTAGCTGAATAACAAAACTGATGAAAAGCAAGCAAACTTCGCTTATTTTTATTTGTTAGTTTTTTAATAACACGATGGACTATTTGACGCCTGTAAATGGTAATCATAAAATTAATTGGATCCACAAATTCGTAGGTCACGTGTTTAATGACTCCCAGCTTGCTTTGATTTTATAAACTAAATTTATAGGGCAGTACTTACCAGTTTTCATCATTTGAATTTAAGTAGCTGTTCCGGTTGCCAGTGACGCTAGCTGCGAAACAGGATTACTACTAGCTCTTTTTGTGTAGCGGACTTTGCTTCCGCTCCTTCAGAGCCTCATGCCCGGGCTCTCTCTACTCCCTTTTAAAGCTTGCGAAACTCAGAAAATAGAGTAGTTTTCTTAGTAGATCAATTTCGCCTTTGTTATTGACAAAACGAACCTTTTTTTTCCATTCAAAGTTTTGTATGATGTTCATGTTTCTGAACGTTTATTACAGTTAGAGGAGAACTTAAAGGACTTGCAAGAAAGTCACGCGAAAGAGGAAAACGCGTTACGCACTCAAATTACCAAGCTTCAACAAGAAAGAAGGCAGTTACAAGAGGCTATTACCCAGTACCAGACGAACGAGCAAACACAGAAACAGGAGTTCGATCAAGTGCTGTTTCGCGCGCAAGAAATGCACGAAATGCTTGAAAGAGAAACTCACGAAAAGTTTGTTTCCATCGCTGAGCAAAAGTCTCTGAGGCAACAGGTCGAGAATCTGTCCAAGAACATGAAATCATTACAAGTGAGTTTAGTTTGTCACTTGACCCACCGTCCCAAGCAATGACACTTAAAAACAAACAAACAAGCAAACAAATAAACAACAACAACAACAACAAAACAGCAAGAACAACAATGATACACTTTGACACTGAATCAAACCTCAAAAAAATGTACTGAACTATTATAACTAAACATTAAAAAAGTGTCATAGATATCTTAAAAGAAACAGACGTTTCGGGTGTACTTTACGATGAAACAAGGTAAATATATAAATATAATTTAATTCCAGTGTGGTGAAAGTACCTTGTATAGAAGCCTAAACAAAAGAAACATGTTGTTTCAATTTAAGTGGTATAAAAGAACTGTGAATTTCAACGAGATTTTGCGAGTGTAGATAGTAAAGCTCGAGTCTAAGTTATCGTTTCTAAAGATTTCCGGCGAAGATTTAGTTGTTAGTTTAATTAGCCAATTTTTGTGCTGTACTCCCTACACCAGAGTATGCTGAGTAAGTTAATCGTTTCTGACCATGTTTTTTTTAGGTGAAAAGTGAGGAATTTGTTCGTTTTCACTGTGATCAAGAAGACCAGATTGACGACTACAAGAGACTAAAGAAGATTATCCATGATAATGGCTTGCCAAGTATTGAACAGATGATTGCACTGCAAAGACAGGTAAATGAATGCTTGCCACGCACCTCCTTTTTAGCCGGGATTGTCTCATCCCAAGCTAGTCTTGCGTGTCGTAAAATGGACAGCGTATCTTGCTTAGTCCCTGTACGGCGTCTTCCCGGGCCTTGTTGGTCAATGCATTTCGGTGACGTATCCGAGACGAAGGTTCGTGATCGGACCACGCGATCCGAAACGCATCGGGCGCGCTCCATAACGAGGCCTAGGGACTAGGCAACTGCATGTGAGGGATTGCACCATTTATGTGAGGGATTCCACCATTTTGAGATGCTGTGCATTTAGCGTGCCAACAGATGAGCGTTAGATAAAGTTTTCAATTTCCTGGGAGCAGTAAAATCTACGGTTCTCTACTCACTGTCTTAATTGGCGTAAATTGTGTACCTGTTAGGACAGTTAGTGAATAATATGTTTTTAATAAATAATCGACTTAAGAAAGTTATATATCTACAAGAATCTCCTGTTTTTGAGTCTGTACCGGTCTCATGTAATCAACGAAGCGTTTCGTCCCGGTCTCATGTAAACGACGGCACAATTACAAATTCGTACGGGCCTAAGTTCGTCCCGGTCTCATGTAATAGCCCCCTTACTCGAAATCTGTCGATCTGTCCACGTGCGGTTTACGTGATATCATCGCACAGGTGAGTGAATATCCCGGATAATAAGAAAACAAATCGACTGCGCATGCTTCTGATCGTACAGCCAACAAATTTTGGCTTTTTTCCCGCTATTGTAGAGAATAGTGTACTGGCTCACATTAGGCTCGCCAGCAACTAAATGAATAGTAGCATGTTAAAGTACCATGGAAGAGGTTTCATTGCATGGTTACACTGGCCGTAAGATTTCATCTACAGATCTACAGCTTAGAGGCACGGTTGATAACTCCATCATAACGGACTTCTGAGTAAAAGAGATTCCTTATTATTATATGATTTACAGAATGAACAATACCGTGAAGAGTTCCTGAACGAAAGGAAAGAGAAGGAACGTGTGCTTTCTTTAAAAGACAAACTGAAGCGAGACTTGGAGAACGCACAGTCCAGAATCTCCTCTCTACAAGAGCAGGTACGTCTTACCCTCTCTTCAGTAGAATTTGAATGCGGTATAGCGTCAACAAATATGCATGAAATATGTTAATACGAAAGATCAATCGAGCAAGTCAGTGCTCAAAGGAGTTTAAGTCGCGTACGCCCTAAGGAAACCCACCTCGAATAGCTTTAATAGCTGCAAATAGTCACAGAATTTGTAATTATACCCTAAAAGTTTCAATGTCTGTTGTTGTTACCTGCTGTTGTCGCTTGGTTGAAGGCTCCGAATAAAATTTGTTACAAGGATCAGCTCTTTTCCGGTATATGATCAAGAAGACGTGTCCGTCTTGAGTTATCAGTATCTGTCATATTACCTTACCAGGTGTACAAGTACAGGGAACATATCTTCTTCCTGCAGCAGAAGTTCAAACAGGATGGAAGCAGCCCGCAGCCAAGCTCCCCGATGTTCGATACACCGAGCAGTTCGCACGGAAACAGTCTCAGTCGACTGTACGGCAGTACCGCCACCCAGTATATCAATGAGATGTTACTTCAGGGAGCTGCTCATTCCAAATTCCCCACGGGAGTACTTCCCGAGGGGAAAAGGCCGGGTCCTGGAAAGCAGGGAGACGGAGGGAAACAATGGCAATATCAGCAGGTTAGAATAAAACCGTACTTGAGTCATCCTCGTTCACAGGGTCCTCTCTCGCTACGGAGGACGAGTAGAGGAGACCCTGGGAACGAGGTTTTAGTTGAGTTATCTTACGTCACTGCCCAACGTGTTGTTCGATGGCTTTCTCTTATATGACCACTGCACCTGCACCTGTACCTATTCCGTAGTCAATGACCGTTGGGGCGCCACGGACATAGCAACCCTCTCCCTCCATTTGATTTTGTTTTCAGCTTCCCTTACAGCGTTGCAAAACTTCAACCCTGTCCAACGCTTCTTTTGTCGGCCCCTTCTTCTTCCTCCTTGCACTGTTCCTTGTAAAATTGTCTTGGCAAGCCCGATGATCTTGATACATGCTCAAACCACTTTAACTTGCGTTTCTTTACTGTGGTTAAGATATCATAGGGCCCAATGGCTTGCCTGATTCTGTCTCTGACTGCATCGTTAGTGATGTGATCTCTGTATGAGATGCTAAGCAGTTTCCTAAAGCATCTCATCTCAGTGGTCTGCAATTTCCTCAGGATGTCCGCTGTCAATGCCCAGGTTTCGCTGGCATACAATAGTACTGAGATAACTAGGGAGCGCATTAGTCTGATCTTCTAGCTTAGAGAGATATGTTTATCGTTTGATCACTAATGGATTTTACACTTCCCACTACTTTTTCACACTACTGGATTTTAAACACACGCTCAACTTCAGGTAGGGTTTGATCCTGAAATTTAACTAGAAAAACTGATCGGAAATCTAATAAGTAAAACATTTAAATACGCAACTTTGTAATTGTCTTTTCAAATGGTCCAGCGTTCTTTGTTATGTTTCCAAAGGCGACACATAAATTAGGGTGAGGCAATGTTGTTAACTGACTATGCTGCTTGATCCTTTCTTTAATAAAAATGCCAAATGCGTGGAAACGGATGCGCCAGAGCCGGTGAACGCCATTGCTTACTGACGACGTACATTGACCGGACGAAACATTGCGATCAGTACTTAAAAGAACGGAGACCAACGAATTAGAAAACTAAAATTCTTCATTATTGACTGTTGTCGATTTTTTTAAAAAAGTCTGGTTAATTTTCAGGGTGGTTACGGTCGGTATGGCCGGCAAACGTCCGCCGAGGATTGGAAGCGAAGCCCAACCCAAGCTCAACCTTGGGACAACTTTTACGGGTCGAACCAGTCTCCTAGTGGTAGGCTGCCCTCGGCAAGCAGCATCTCCTCCGTTCGTTCAAGTTCCAGTTCGTCCGAAGAAATTCCTGTTGAGGGTCAAATGGATGGTCGAGCACCATTTGGGATGGGTGGTTTGGGTGGAAGACGGCAAGGACCTCGCTCTGCAGTCTTACCTGATAAAGCTGTCGATGAGTCGCGTTCCATGCCACAGAATTATGGGTAAATCCACAACAATCACTTCATATATTGTAACGTTAAAATATGTGTAACGCTTGGAGGCAGATCTTTAACGACAACTGTTAACACGAGGCTCCTGCTGTCACGTAAACAATCGTGACCTAAGAAGCTACCATTTCACTTCTTATGAGCCCTTGTGAGGGATCGACAATTTTTTTTTTAAAAAAAACTCCAAAATAGATCGAAAATACCCGGTGAAGAGCTGTCAGGTTTATTTTGTTAGTTTTTCGGCAGAGAGTAGGGGCCCATCACCATAAAGATTTCATCTTTCCTGTTAGGGCTGGATCTTATGGTGCTGTGTAGATTAGATTTACCCACACAAAACCTCTTTGCTAACTGAAACACCCAAGGCGTCCTATGTATGGCAATCCAGATTCCGGATTCCGGGAAATTTTTGCTAATGGAAGGTGGAATTGTGGGCTATGGAATCCGGAATTCAGCTCTAGAAATCCGGAATCCAACAAACGATTATCAACGCAGCTGAAATAGTTCCTGGTAATGCGTCCTTTAGCATTTGAAATAAAATTAGATGCAAGTGACATTCCTGAGATATATTGTCATTTCCTATGGTTTTATTCCAGACCTCCATCCTCTCCATTTGAGCCCTGGTCACCCAGGCAGCAAGGTTTTCCTATGAGAGGTCAGCGGCGTTATTCGTCCCCAACTGGAAACGGTGTCCGTTCTCCGAACACTGACTTCTGGAATCCGCAGCAACAAATGGGAGGCTTCCAGCGGTCTTGGCCATCACCCGCTGATCAGGCCCAGCTTTCTGATTCTCCTCAGGTCTCCTTGTCATCTGGACTGAGGCCCACAGCCGATCCTTGGCCTCCAGCGGTTTCAACTACTCCAAGCAGTAGTCATGCTCAGTCTACTCTGGCATCCAGTGGTCAGGGAGACACGATGACGTTCATGTCTGGTGGGATAGGTATGCGTTAAGGTGGGAGTGGGCACTTGTTGCCACGGAAGCATGTATAGGAATTGAATTTAAAGGGGCATGGTGCATCAACACGTTATGCTATCGAATATTACACAGCTTATCTTAAAAAGGTAACTAAAAAGAGCTGTCGCATAGCTATGATGAAACCTGCTTTACATTTTAACCCATTAACCACTTTAGCCAAAGTGTAAATGTATAACAATGGAATGTAGATTTGGCATTATCTTTAGACAATAATTGCCATTTATATACGTACAAGGTTTCCACAAACAAAAGTGGTAGACCTAGTGCTGAATTGCCTTCAATTCAAGCAATTAACATAAATGCTAATGGATAAAGTTATGTTAAATTGCTCTTAAATGTCTTGCTTGTTATCACAAATTTAAGGGCAAACATTAATGGTAGTTAACCAACCGTTACTTAATGTTCAGCCATGAAGCTAAAGAACTAGATGATTAACCTTTTGTAAAAAAAAAAAAAATAATAATAATAATAGAAAGAAATTCACTTTGCCTTTTTCATATTTAGGAACCTCAAACTGAATCTTTGATAATCTCGAATAATTTAAAAGCAGTATTTACAAACAATATTTGATGAAGAAAATTTCATATACATATTATTGCCAATCCATGGAGAGAGATATTTTTTTTGTTTAAATATAGTTATTCTTATTTATCATATGGACCAAAAATCTTCTATTTGTTGAATAATCTTTGGAGTAAAAGAAGAGTTAAAATTTAGGGATAAACTTGTATTTAACAAGAGGAAATCATTATAGAATAACAAATTTTGTGGATAGAAAAGAGCTTTTGTTAAAATGTGTTTGATGGTTTTTTACTATTTTAAGTAACGATTTAATTGAAAACATTTCGAATTAGTTTGACGTTGTTCGTCATTATAGTTACGGCGTGCATGTATCACCTGCTAGGGTTTAGGGATCTTTATGCAAAGCTGTTTGATTTCGTAGCATTCAACTTGAATCGCTTTGGTACACAAAAAAGTATTGTGTTATAGCAATGCAAAGACTAGGGTATGAAAAATGAACGAGTTGAATTTTACCGAAATTTCACTAGCTAGTTCTGAACATGGCAAGGGTTAATTTCAAACCCTTACATTCCTCCAACCCCTAACACCCTACCCCCACCCTTTCTTAAAAAAGGAAAAGAAAAAAAAAACAAAGTTTTTAGAACAGGATAAGATAGATTTACTAAACTGCTGAGTGTTGGTATATGTCCGGACAATCGTAGACGCGTCGCAGTCTGTCTTTTGCGCAAACATTTGTGCGTGCACGCGCGCAATAATGCGAGTGTGCAAGGTGTGCGAGCGATGATAGCTTGTTCCAGGCTCTCAGATAGTAAGGAACACGCACAGTGAAAGGCACGCGAAAATATGAGCGCGTGATCTGGGAAAAGGGGGCGGTGGTGGAAAAAAGTTTCCTCTCGTTCTATTTCGTGTTACTGCTGTCTCACTTCCGAGGCCCCGACTATCTCGGAGCCTGGAATAGGCTACTGCGACGAAGGCACGAGCAACGGTTTATTCGAGCAAAAGAGATCCTTCTAGCAGTCTAGGACAATCATGTCCCACAAGGCAGTTAAGATTACGTCCAATACGGGCCAATTTTAGTGCAAAGACCGACTGTTATTTGCAGCTCTGTTGTGATTAAAATCACTTTATGATGCATGGCTTTAAAAAGGTAAACGGGTCTTGTTTGTTTATGCTCCTTAAGCATCATTTCAACGTGGGATTAGAGCATTGGGCCAGGGGAGCGTTCCTGGAGTGCTATTTTGTATCAGTCGATTCTACTTTTTCGGTCTATGTGGGAAATCTAAAACTGCGACCATACAAAAGTGGAAGCCACTGGGCTTTCACTTCGTGTGGTTCTGCTCGTGATGCTGTACACGTGGGTCGAGTCGCCCCTTGTCAGGTAATCCGGATTCCAGAATCCGGGAAATGCCTTGGAATCCGGAATCCAGGACTCTGGAACCCAGGATTCAGCTTAAGAAATCCGAAATCCCGCTAAAGATTGAAATCCCGAATCCGAGTTCCATTGACAGGAAACTTGGAATCCAGTACCTGGAATCCGGAATCCACATCGTGGAATCCAGAATCCAAGACTCTCTTGGATTACCACACTTATACTACTACATGAGAAATTGCTGCAATTTGATTGCCTCAGAGCAGTGGTATTTCACCTTAATTTGAAATACCTATATGTGAAAAGTACAAACCTTTCGTAGGTAGTAGTATAAACAAATAATAGCATGATTTGTACGTGATATTTGGCATAAATACCACTCGTGATATTTTAAAATTGTTTCAAATTTCACTCGCCTTACGGGTCGTGAAATTACGTATAATAATTTCGAAATATCACTCGTGGTATTTATGCCAAACATCACTACAAATCATGCTTTACCTATACTAAGAGGGGCGAGTTAGGGATTCTGTAGATGATAATCTACAAGTGCGACCATTCAGAATGAAATCTTATGAGCAGTATACTTCCCTGCACACAGCCAACTGCTTTATCAAAGTGGACTATAACAGACGAAATCTTTGTATGCATGTAGAAGCGTATGAAACAAGACTATATTTTAAAATTTAATTTTCTCTTGACCACTGTTTTTAACTACATAATTTTTTTATGCTGAATGCAGTTTCATTTATATACCGGTTTGTGGATATTTAGAATTAATTAGTATTTAATACGCTTCAACTGAATATTGAATCAATCGTATCAACAGAACGTGTATCTTGTTGCCAAATTAGTGCCATTGAGAAAAAGTAGATTGAATTTTTGATTTGTAAATAGCTAGTATTGGCTGTTTTGTAACAAGACGAGTTTTGTGTAGATTCAAATATTTAGAAGCTATGAAATAGCCGTTTACAGTATTTAAGAGTTGGTAGAAAAATGTCTTTTTTCTAGGAGTTAATTACAAAACGTACTCGCGTGAACTTAGTTAGTTACACTTGTCGCTTTGATAAAGAACATATAAATATGATCATAAGTAAACAAAGTTATACAGTTTCAATTTATATTCTACATTATTTAATATCTTATCCATCTTATCCAATAGAAATATAAGTAATGCGTAAAAAAATTCCTTTGTTGCTCGTGAAATGTGCTCTGATTTTTCCTATGGAAAGCAGCTACCATGTAGCCTAGTTTCTAGATAAAGGCTAAGAACTTGCCTCCAGGTATAACGAAAGTATAACTTTTAGCTTAGCTTTATGTTATATTAAACAGAAAAATTTAAATTAATTTTATAATTAAAATGATTTGTTGAAGACGAGAAACTAAAATTTATAATAATATAATACTTAAGAATGATTTTTTAACAGCATATCTGCATAATGTGTACAATCAATGATCATTATTGGCGTGACTTTCTAATAAAAATATTGTTATATTGCCATAATATTTGTGAATTGTGTGTTCAATTTTCTTTCGAGCAACTTTGCCAGACGTTTCAGATTAACCCTTTAAACCCTAAGTGTGATCAGTATCAAACTTCACCAAGTGATATCAATGCTTTACAAAACAGATTGGTGATGAGAGTTAAGGATATGATCACACAAGATACAATGAGTTGATACTTCAACAACTTTTCACTTCTAGGAAACGTACAGGGGCAGCAAATGGGAATTTGAATTTTGATTTCATGGCTTCAAGGGTTTTAGAGCCACATAAAGCGTTTTCACTCACGTGGTCGGCATCTATCCTAATTTACTGGAACAAAAGAGAGTTTTTACATAAGAAAAGAGTTCAACTCCCACAGGACTGGTTTGGAACACCAACATGGCCTTCGTTTCATTGTTTTGGAACACTAATATGGCCGCCGTGACGTCATATGAAAACGCTCCATATCTTAGGCCCCGTTTACAAAACTTGGCGAACGGTTTACATGAGAATTTGAAACAAAACGTTGGCTCGGCTAGAGGCGGGTCACCCCCTTTTCAATGGTGTTTTTATTTTGTTTTATTTTTCTATTAGCTACGCCGATGAAACAAAACAACAACAACAAAAAAACATACGACGTAATTAAACTAAAGAAGGGGGTCGGCAGGGACACCGCAACAGCTGAGGCCAATTACAGCGCGCCCGAGTAGAGTAAAAAGAGTGGAGTGTGCACGTGAAATGTTAAGAATGACAAAATACAAGAAAAGAGACCAACTACATACAACAAACGATCGAACGAGACAGTCTTAAACGTACGCGGTCATCGCAGTCAAAAAAGAAGTGGCTAACGAGGTCTTCTAATAATGGGAGGGTCACCCTCCTAGCTGAACCAACTTTGGTTCGCCCAGCCTGTCAACTCGGTCAATGCGAGACAATCAGCGCATGCGCAAGCGTTGTTGTCAGCTCTTGGCTCGGGAAAAGGAGTGAACTTTCTTTTCATATAAACTCTCGCTTACGTTTACTCGGCTATGAGGTTGAGCCTCTTTCCCGGGAAAACCTTTCCCTATGTAAATTAACGGGGCGTAATCTTGGTATGACATTAGTCCCTTCACCTACACAACCTATAAATATTGACCGCGCCCTTGGGGCTTACGCCCCGTGTTCCTTTTAGTTTGGAATTATTTGAATGAGGCGGAGTGTACATAAAGAATTGGCAGATTGAGTGTTTATGCACATTGGCGGGTTTTCGTAGCCTGTTTCAGGCTCCCAAGATAGTCGGGTCCGAGATCAGAAAGCGCGAACACAAAAGGAAAACGATAGAAAATTGGAGAGGAAGGGCTTCCTTTTCCCGCCAGGCATCGTCCCTTTTTCTCAGATCAAGCGCTCATATTTTCACGTGCCTTTCAATCACGCGTCATTCCTACTATCTGATAACCTTGAAGAGACTAGTGTTTTTCCGCTTAAGCAGAAAACAGCCTTTATGATGCACATAATTCTTCATATCACAATCAGCCTCATTCAATCATGGTTTCATTATTCATCCAAAATAAATGAAATTTCAACAAAACCTGCTTACCTGAATCTCTGTGAAGTTTCCGTATTCATAACCGTTTGCTACATCCTCAATAGTGTCAGGATATGAAGGGATGTTTTCAGCGTCTACCAGACTTTCTTCAAATCGCAGTTGCTATCCGTTCAGTGGTAATTTTGCTATTCTTGCCTCGTCTTCAAGCAGTAGTTCGGCCATTTCTTATCCGCTTATCGCTTGAAATCTTTCGCCACGTCACGCTTTATGCTGCCCATTTTTCTGTCGATATCTGTACAACTGACGTCAATTGTATTCAACATTTCCATGTAAACCATAATGCATTTTGTTTACGCCCAGCTTCCCCCAAATTTTATAAAATGACTGTTCCCAAAGATTTCTTCTGGGTATATCAGTCGTCCCAAGAGACGTCGATGGCAATGGTTATGCAATTTTTTTTTTTGGAGGAGCAGGGGGGGGGGGGGGGGTAAAGGGGGGTTTTTTGGGGTTTTGGGAAAAGGGGGAATTGAACACGGAAAAGGACTTCCAATTTTCGTAAAAGTTGCCGTGTTATGAAAAATAACCCCGCCAGGGGTTTAGCGCATCTCAGAAAAGGAGAAAATTTTTGAAGGCCCAAAATCCATATTTTTTACACTTACTGTAATTTTTTTCCCCTTTTCCATGTAAAACTTAATGCATTTTTTTTACCCCCCACTTCCCCCAAATTTTTTAAAAAGACTTTTCCCAAAAATTTTTTTTGGGTTTATTAGTCTTCCCAAGAGGCGTCGATGGCAATTGTTTTTGAATTTTTTTTTTTTGGGGGAGCAGGGGGGGGGGGGGATGTATAGGAGGTGTATTATGGGCTTTGCGAAAACGGTGAATTGACATCGGCAAAGGACTTCCAAATTTCGTCAACGTTCGCTGGTTATGAAGAATTAGCCGCGCAGGGGATTTAGGCTATTCAGAAACTGAGAAATATTTTGAATGACCAATAAACAATTATTGGATGAGGTGTTTCTGATATCCCCAATAATCAAGGTCGAGGTAAGTGTTTTCAGCCGAGCCGAAGGCCGAGTCTGATAACACTTGCCGAGACCTTGATTATTCCGGATATTACAAAAAACAAATATAATCATTGTTTATTATACATTGTTTTGAAATAAATAACGACAAATACACCAAACGCAAGGGACTGATTTGACATTTCTCTCAGAAATCATGCATTGCGCGCGCAACCTACAGATTAGTCAGTTATCTGCTGGCAGATAACTAACTAATCTGTACAGTGTAAGTTGGGCTGATTTCCAAATTAACTAGAGGCTCCTAGACAATGAGAAGACAGATACTGAGTACGATGTATAATAATGTGGGTTATTTTGCCTTCCTTAAAATACAACGCGCGCTCGTGGCCAACAATTTTTTCGCAAAAATTCAGGTAAAATAATAGTATTAACGTATGGTTTGTTCATAATCTTATGCCGAAATAACCAGAATCTCATGGCATATTTCATCTCATTTCTATTTATTTTCTAAAACAAAGTAAAACAAACAAAAAAGAAATGACATTTAATTTAAAAATAATAAATAAAAAATCCATTTCGTCTTGAAACATTAACCTCGTCCTACATGTATCTCAAGTCCATGAAATGACGGAGCGGTGCAAGAACATTAAAATGATCTTCGATAGGAGAACGTCTGGTGCGTATATTATTCCTAATGTCTTGTTCTGTTTTTCCGACTTCTGGATCTGTTATTGGGGAGCTTAAAGGGGCTGTGTCACGGCAGTCCAGTTCATTTTGTTTAATTTTGCCAATTACTCACCCACAATCGCTATGGAACTTAAGGTGAGCAAAGAAATTACATGTAAATGACAAAATCAGGGATCCGAGGCAAACAAATATGTCTCCTGAGCACAATTTTTGAAGTTGCAAGCGGCATCAATCAACTTTGAAAAACTTTTAGGCTGAACAGTTTTCAAAAACCATAATTTCAATCCGTTTCAATCTTGTTCAGTTTTACCCATCCGTGGCATCTGTTGTTTCTGTTGTGTCATTTTAACCTTTCTTTAACGTTTTAAGCGGTTATTTTTATGTGTCTCTTAATTTAACTGGCATTTTGTAATTACCTAATTTGGCTGAATTTCCTGACACAGCTCCTTTAAGCAACTATGACGGCGACGGCTACAAAAACGCCTTTTAAAAAATGAAGTCGCGCTGTTTCTGGAGTAGAATTCTTAAGGAGTGCATCTTCCCAAAAAAGAAATAGAAAATCGTTATTGTACTGCTNAACAAACAAAAAAGAAATGACATTTAATTTAAAAATAATAAATAAAAAATCCATTTCGTCTTGAAACATTAACCTCGTCCTACATGTATCTCAAGTCCATGAAATGACGGAGCGGTGCAAGAACATTAAAATGATCTTCGATAGGAGAACGTCTGGTGCGTATATTATTCCTAATGTCTTGTTCTGTTTTTCCGACTTCTGGATCTGTTATTGGGGAGCTTAAAGGGGCTGTGTCACGGCAGTCCAGTTCATTTTGTTTAATTTTGCCAATTACTCACCCACAATCGCTATGGAACTTAAGGTGAGCAAAGAAATTACATGTAAATGACAAAATCAGGGATCCGAGGCAAACAAATATGTCTCCTGAGCACAATTTTTGAAGTTGCAAGCGGCATCAATCAACTTTGAAAAACTTTTAGGCTGAACAGTTTTCAAAAACCATAATTTCAATCCGTTTCAATCTTGTTCAGTTTTACCCATCCGTGGCATCTGTTGTTTCTGTTGTGTCATTTTAACCTTTCTTTAACGTTTTAAGCGGTTATTTTTATGTGTCTCTTAATTTAACTGGCATTTTGTAATTACCTAATTTGGCTGAATTTCCTGACACAGCTCCTTTAAGCAACTATGACGGCGACGGCTACAAAAACGCCTCTTAAAAAATGAAGTCGCGCTGTTTCTGGAGTAGAATTCTTAAGGAGTGCATCTTCCCAAAAAAGAAATAGAAAATCGTTATTGTACTGCTTGCTACGATCGAGTCGCCAAGGTTTCAAATACTGCACATGGTTTATTTCATCCAAAATGTACAGAAATAGACAGGATAAAATTCGAGATCCGTTGGTATCTCTCAAGTTTCGCAACTAGTAGTAATGATCTTTCTAATCAACGATTGTTACGACACGTCATTAGTCGTGATTATATCACGCATGAATTTCGTGTTACAGTCAACTCTCTGTAAGACGGACACCTTTGGGACCGGCACTAAGTGTCCGTCTTAAAGAGGTGTCCGTCTTATAGAGAGTCAAATAAAGGAGGTAAGGAAAGGCAGGGACCAACTCTAAGTGTCCGTTTTACAGAGGTGTCCGTCTTATAGAGGTGTCCGTTAAGAGAGAGTCGACTGTATACCGAAACAGTTATCTTATGTTCACGTCCTCCATTAAACGTGAAATTAGGAAGG